GCTAATAAATAGGAAGAAGTGTCAGTGGATAATGAACCGCAAATGTAGAACAAGTGGAAGGAATCAAGTTTTTGTGACATCAATATAATGCAAAAAGAGGTTAATTTAAGATAAATATTTTATTAGTTTTACAACGTATAATACTCTTATCAATACCGTTTATTAAGCCGCGATAAGAAATCCACTGATAAAGTAATTAGTGTGATGTGGTTTTTAAAAAAAATATGACAATGCGACGAATAATATAGATCTTTTCATTGGGTTGGATTATTATTGCATTATTTTAGTTTTAAAATTAAATTTTAGAGAAATAAGAGATAATTCACTGTTACTGCAAAGTACTGTTTGCATGCGACATCTAATACTCAATCATAAAGCGTTTAATTAGTTTCTTATTTGAACCATAAGAAATCCTTGTATTAGTAATAGAGAGACTAAAGAATAATTGCTAGTAGTAACGCTAGGAATGGAGTTGTTACTTGTTTCTTCTTCAAAGTTTCAAAAAATTATTTTTGGCTTGTTTTACCTTGCTCTTTATTTTAGTTTCACGGTCTCAGCTCTCACTTAGCAGACAACCCAATCTGTCTTGTTCGATTTCTTCTCCAATTACAATATTTTTACCTATAATTATTGCTTTTGTTTTCTTGATATTTATTTTTAAGCTCAAGGTTTCACTAGCAACAATTAGAGACATTGGATTCCGAGAAGAAAGGTCAAAAATTGATCAGATTTGCCTTCTCAGGCAAACCTTAGACAAGACATAAAAATATGGAATTGATACCCACCTCCTCTTCATAGATTTTAAAAGCACTTACGTAGACAGAAGCGCACGTTATAATGCCATGGCAGAACTCGACATTCCGTCGCATCTAATAATATTGGTAAAGGCAATTTTTTCGAAAGTTGAGTGCAAAGTCAAGGTACAAAACAAAGTGTCAAGGTATTTTCAAACACATATAGGATTACGGCAGGGAGACAGTCTATCGTGCCTATTGTTTAACATTGCGCTAGAAAGAGCCATAGAGAAATCGGGCATAACAACCAGAGGTAAGATCATCAATAGAAGTGTACAGATATTGGCCTACGCAGATGACGTTGACATAGTAACACGGACAAAAAGAGATCTGATACAGGCTTTTGAAATATTAGAAAAAGCAGCGAAGATAATGGGACTGCAGGTCAACGTATCCAAAACAAAATACATGAAAGTCACAAACAGCACACAAATATCGGCACCACAAGATCAGGTGACATAAGCATATACATTCGAAGGGGTCTCGGAGTTTATATATCTTGGAACACAACTAAATAACAGCAACCTAGTAAGCGTAGAAATTAAGAGAAGAATATACATGGCGAATAGAGCTTACTTTGGACTAAGGCAGTTTCACACATAATTAGCAGAAAAATCAAGATAGTAATTTATAAAACTCTTATTAAACCTGTACTTAGATTCGCGTCAGACATGGACTATGATAAGAAGCGACGAAGAACTAGTACGGAGGAGTACAAGAAAGCGGGATATGTCGCAGGCGCTACAATTTTAAGTTGTATCAATGTTATGAAAAATCCAACATCGTCCGGTCTATTAAAATTAATAGACTAAGGTTGCTAGGACACCTTGAAAGAATGGACACTGGAAATCCCCAAAAAAAGGTATTATATCAAGAGCCAGTAGGAACCAGGAAGAGAAGTAGGCTAAGATCTAAATTTAAAACTCATGTCGAAGATGACTTGAGGAATCTAGGGGTCAGAAATTGGAAAGCTAGAGCAAAAGATAGGGGGAAATGGAGACTATTTCTTGAACAAGACAAAACCCACCTAGGGTTGTCGAGCCAAAGATGATGAAGTTGATGATCAATGAGACATTGACGATCTTGATATCTGCCACTGTCATCAGCATACCTAATGTTGCCTTTTAGTTTATTAAAATAATAAAGTATAACTTTTAGTTTAATACCCTTATTAGATTCTGTCACTGCTTCTGCAAATACTTGCAAAACGTATAACGTATACAACCTTGCCGTGCTCCCTTTTTTGAGAAATCTTTTGTTTTGTTGAAATTTTGAAAACGTATTGTTGCTGTCTGGTTCCAATCACAGCAAATAGTTGCAGAACTTTGCAGAGATTATTTCGTGTGTTAACACCTAAAATCTCCAAATATCCGAGGCTTGTGATGCTATTTATGAATATACTGAAATAACATTATTAGCTATTAGCTATTAGTTGCACAATGTGAATGCACAATTGCACAATGCATAGTATGTGCGGATGTGTCGTAGCGAATACGCTGGAGGTCTTGGAGTTTAAAACTTATAAGAACAGACTAAATTCCTGGGCTTGTATTGCAAAATAAGGGGTTAATATCATGAATTCTGCAGCAATACTGTGACTAAAAGCTGTGTATTTTTGCTGATTAGTGGGTTCATGTGTCATTTCATATGTATGTTTCGTGGAACCAGCAAAAGCATTTGATAGAGTCAAACTTAAACATATATTACAGAAACTGAGGTAAAAAGGGACCCCGTCAAACATCTTGGAATTAATAAAACAAATGAACAACAACAATACGACAAAAAATAAAACAAACGCCATCACTACCAGTATACCAACCTCAGTGGAAATCGGACAGGGAGATAGTCTTAGCCCGTTTCTGTTTAATATACTAATGGAGGAAATAATAGAAGATGTGGAATACGATGTGAATATGAATGCTATAAATAGGATATAGCAGAATTGGTATATTTATCTACAAAGACAATTTCACAGATTCTACTAGGTATGCTGTCGTTTAACATGAACATATACGTGTAGAAAACGAAAAGCAGTATTCTTACATCGGTAGGAAATTGTTTTTACAAAGGGCTTTACGTGCATATAAACTATAAATCCCCTTGACAGTGCATTCCTCGGCTGTTTGTTTTGTAACTTTAAAAAACACAGATTTCGGCCGAATGCTGAATTCGATTTCCGATTTATAATCTTGTTAGTAGATGTCGCTTTAGCGTCTGTTTTAAATATTTAGTTTTATGAATTAAGGTATATTGAGGTTCAAAAACTGCTGTATGTATGCTTGGTCGATTATAGAAAGGCCTTCGACCGCATAAAATACGAAAAATTGATTGGACGGACACGACACAGCTATCATAAGTAATATATACTGGAACCACACAGGATGCGTTCGAACAGAAAACGGAAACACCAAGTACATCAACATAAGACGAGGAGTGCATCAAGGGTGCATGTTGTACCCCCATATTGTATATGCCGAACATATAATTAGAGCTTGTTTTGGAGATCGCCCTGAAGGTGCCAGAGTCAATGGAATCATCATTAACAATATAACATATGCCGATGATACCGTAATATTAGCAGAAAAAGAAGACCAACCAAAAGTATTAATAAACATATTATCAGAAGAACGTCACAGACTGGGCTTGGACATTAACTTTCCCAAAACCAAAATTCTGGTATTCCACAAAAGCTCCCATTAACAAGTTACACCTAACATACAAATAAATACAGAGTCAGAGAGCTAAATAGTCAACTAGACCACTCAAAAGAAATTAGAAGATGCATTAAAGTCATCTGGTTTCAAGACGCAAGATCTGGTGTCATGAATATGAGTACAATACTCTGTAATCCAAGCTATCAGTCTCAATAAGATTGAAAACACTAAAGTGTTATGTGTGGTCTATATTACTATATGGCTGTGAGACCTGGACATTAAAACAGTATGACGTCAACAAATTAAATTTATTTGAAATGTACATGTAACGCGGAATGTCAAGAATAAGCTGGACCAGCACAACTACGAATGAAGAAGTACTGAGAGTAATGAACACACGCCTTCATCTGGTCAATACTCTCAACATTAGAAAGACGTCATATATAGGACACATAGTGCGCCATAAAGAATTTGAGCAGCTTCAGGTAATATTAGAAGGCAAGATTGAAGGTAAAAGGGGCACGGGACGAAAGAAAAAATCTTGGCTACGAAACATCAGAGGTTGGACCGACACCAGAGAAAATGAATTAATTTGCCATATTGATCACCAACCTTGACAGAGAAGGCACTTAAAAGGAGGAGGAGTTTTATGCATGGAAAAGGTATTATTTCGTTAAAGCTTGTCATGAGTTTGCTCTGAGGAAGACAAGAGACAAAAATATGCATATCAGCGAAAATTACGCTGTAACGAAATAATCCTTAACTGTCGTATTTTATAATTACCTTAAATGGCTCGTAGTGAAGAAAAAACTTACAGAATAGCTGAAAAAATTTAAATACATCGACATAGATTTATCAAATTACCATGACCCAGTCACAGGCCGAAGTCATATTGTTAAATAACCTATACATGCGCACTGACAGCAAAGTTAAAATTTATAAAACGTGTATCAGACCAGTACGGACCTATGGAACAAAATCACGGGAAAAATCACCATAAAAGGGATGCCATGCCGTGCTAAATATGCTAAGTATAACCGAAGTTAAGATAATAAAAGCAATATTAGGGAAAACAAGAAAAAAGAAGTGTCAGAATAAAAAACAACATCATTATCAGGGAATATTGCGGCGCACAAGATGTTGTGACATGGGGTTGGTAAAAATGAAGAAAATAGTATAATCATGTAAAGCAATAGACTAGTAAGAATTGTGCGAGAAGAAAAACCAGCAGACACGTGGCGACCAAATAGATGGAGATATAGCTGGAAATATATAGTATATTTCTCAAGAAATACTTCAGCATCGGAATTAAAAGATGTACAGATCTACAAGTATAAGAGAAAGAAGAGGAAGACCTATTTTTCTCCTAGTGTTTGTATTTGTGATTATAAAAGATTTTGAAAATAATTTTTTGCAATAACCTGGTAACAATAAAATGTAAATTAGATACGATTTCCGTATATCGATAGCTTTAAATATTATTTGTAACTTGTTATTGTATAACGGTAAATGAAATGACTATATTTTAAACCCACTCTCCTTTTCATTTCAGGTTGCAATTAAGATCATCGATAAGAGCCAACTAGATGCCAGCAACTTGCAGAAAGTGTATCGCGAAGTCGATATAATGAAAAGATTAGATCATCCTCATATTATCAAGCTATATCAGGTAAGACTTCTTGCTTTACTGTTGGAGATTGAAGATTAGGAAATATGTTTCACATGATATTTTTTGTTTTACTGAGATTGGAAGCTGTAGTCATGTGTGTCTGAAATAAATCGATCGAAGCGTTTTTAAAACAATATATTTAACTAATTTAAAAACATTGTGACATACCGTTATTTAGAAATTTAGAAAGTGGCATACCGTTAAACGCCGTCTACACTATCGAGGAGATAAAGGAGATCAAGTATATCGAGAATATCGAGGAGATATCCCACTAAAATGGGAGATCATCATCATCATATAACGGGGGTCCTACGGCGATTGCTTCTTACCGCATTTCAGCCTCTATCTTTTCCTATCTCTCCAATCTAACTCTTCTAAGCCTCTAGATTGCATTGTTTTTGTAATTTCTCTTCTCCAGGAATTTGGCGGTCTTCCCCTTTTCCTACTTTCTGGCGGAACATACATTAAGGCTTTCTTTGGCCACCGCGCCTCCTCCATTCTCATCACCTGACCATACCATTGTAATTGCCTTCCTTGTATTCTATCTGAAAGAGTATCACTAATTCCTGTACGGTTTCGTATATCCTTATTCCTGATTCTTTCCATTCTAGATACTCGACATGACCTTCTAAGATAATCCATTTCCACAACGTCTACTTTATCTCGTTCATTCTTTGTCATCGTCCAACATTCGGCACCATATGTGGTAATCGGTTCTACAATTGCTCTGTATACACGAAGTTTGGTATGCATCTTTATTTTATTAGACCACAGTAATGAATTCAGTATACGCATACATTTTTTTTCTTGGGTTATTCGGTTTTGTACATCTATCTTAACTCTGCCATCTGCTGATATTATATGCAAACAACAATGTATACAGAGTTTCTTGTCCCACTTCTATGCCCATAAATCTACATTTATTTCTCCAATTCCTCAATGCTTCTTGGACGTATATTTTAAAGAGTGTCGGTGACAAACAGCATCCTTGCTTTAGGCCTTTAGTGACTTTAAATTCATTTGAAGTTCTGGTTCCAATTTTTACACAACTAACTGCAGTTTCGTACAATTTATATATCGCTCGGATAGACGTCGAATCCAATCCGGACCTTTCGAGGACCTTAAAGATTTTCTTTAACGGGACACTATCATATGCTTTCTGAAGGTCTATAAATACCAAATGGGTCTCTTTACTTCTTTCGACACGCTTTTTAATTATTTGTCGTAGGATAAATATATTATCAAGGCAGGATCTCTCGGTACGAAAGCCGCTTTGTTCTTCAATATCTTGTATCTGTCTTTCAACCCTCTTCTTTAATATTCTGCCATACAACCGGCCCACAAAGCTCGTCACACTAATACCTCTATAATTGGAACAGTCTCTTTTATGCCCTCTCTTATATATCGAGCTTATATAAGATTTATTCCAATCTTTAGGAATTTCCTGGTCTCCACACATACGTTTATTAAAAAGGTCTACTATTAATTCTAAAAGTGCAGTCGGCCCATATTTAACCAGCTCTATGGGAATGTCTCCAGGCCCTGCGGCTTTTCCGTTTTTAACCTCTTTTAAGGTTTCCGTCAATTCAGATAATGTTATTATAGGGATTTCCTGTCTTTCGTCTTTGTTATCTATTAATTCCCTTATCTATTAATGTATTATTAACTAAGTAATTATTCCCTGTTATCTATTAATCTCCTAAAATGGAGATACAGAATATAAAAAATTCAACAATTAATTTCTTTTCAAGTATTTTAACAGTTGACCAGAACACATATTCGTTATGGAAGGCAGCAAAAAAATTAAGAAACTAATTATTTATTCTCCTCCTATTAAGTTGAAAAACGGCAACTAGGCTAGCAGTAACAAACAGAAAGCAGAACGATTCGCAGACCATTTAGAAAGCACGTTCAAAACCAACGACAATAATGGTAAAGAACTGAGATGGAAAGAAACATTCCAAACCGAAGAAAGAATAACGTTGACATAATTCATCATTTAGAGAAGTATCAACAGAGATAGGTATAGTGAATATAAACTACAAGAAAGCTCCAGGATATGATCTGATAACAGGAGAACTAATAAAAGATTTACCAAGAAAGAAAAGCCATAGTTAAGTGAACAGACCTAATAAATGCTGCTTTTATGCGACTGATAAGTTACAACTATCAGTAAATACATTACATACCTGACAAGAAAATTGCGAATAAAATTCCTAGAGCTAGACGCAATAACCCTCGATGCAAGGCTGCGCTGAAAAGTCCATGTCAAAAAGAAAAGAGAGGAGCTTGATATTAGATATAAGAAATTGTATTTGTTGATTGGAAAAAATTCAACATTATCCATTCATAATAAATTATACATTTACAAGCAAGTACTAAGGCCAGTATGGGTATATGAGTACCAACTCTTTGGCTGTACCAAAGCTAGTAATCTACATATTATCCAGATATTTCAAAACAAAGTACCGAGAAACATTGTTGACGCTTCTTGATATATCTGTAACAGCAACCTCCGCCAGGACCTGGGTATGAAAACTGTGACCGAAATAATGAAGAGAACAGCAGCAAGTTATGAGCAGAGGCTGCATAGCCATGTGAATGTCAAGGCAATCCAGCTTCTTGACAACACTGAATCAAAGAGAAGACTCATAAGGACAAAACCATTTGAGTTAGTGTAAATGTGTAACAGTTTAATGTAAAAGGCAGAGTATAGTCCTGTGATGTTATTTGCTGCTGAACTCCTTATGGTGGGATCGCAATTTTTCCAAAAGTAACAATAAAGGAATAGGGCAAACCATAGTTAAATCAATTCATACAAACCTGAAGAGAAGATTGTTGGCAGTTGAAATGGATTATTTGGAAAGAAGTGCTAGAGATCAAGGCTGGAAAGGAAGACCAACGAATCTCTAAGAAATAATATGAATGCTACAGAAACGGTTATTGACAGAATAGAAAGAAGAGTGTTAAAATGGTTTGGATACCTATTGAGAATGCCTGAGGAGCGTAGGCCCCAAAAACTTCACAGATGGAAGCTTTCTGGAAGAAGCAAAAGAGATAGACCTCGATGTTCATGAAATGAAGGAATTAGAGATGAAATTGAGAGGTTTGAGGAGAAAAATGCCTTGGACCGGATTAGCGAAGGAGAACGGGAATACGACGATAGTCATATCCAAAATGTATTGTATTTGCAAGTTGGATCTTGTTTTTAAGTGTTTATGCGCACTGCTAAATGATCCATTGCCTTTAGGTGTTCTTTTTTGTGATTTTCTTTCATTTTACTACAATAAACTATTATCACTTACAACAAAAGTACACAACTGAGTATAGTCCTGTGATGTTATTTGCTGTTTAATAAGTTAAGTCAGAAAATAACTGGTAATTGGTCATTTGTGACCAGATAGCAGTGTACCTCCACCCTACAGGTGTTATACAAAATAAGAAAGAACGAAACGGAACGTACAAAAAACGGAACGAAGTTAGTTTTTGTGTAAAAGTTTCTAAATATAAAATGCATTTTTATTAAAAAATTCGACTGATGTTCCCAACTAGAAAGCCGTTATAAGTTACACAATATCTTTGGAGAAAATATTTTACATTCCCGCACCTCATTTTACTAAATTTTCCCAATTATGCGAAAACAATTTCCCCAAGACGTAATTGTCATCCCAAGTACTCTAGAAATTTAAAAACTTAAGAAATAAATTGAAATTTTTAAAGTTGCTAAAGTTTCTGGAGAGTTCGGTAAAATAAATAATATGCTGAATTGCCGTGAAAATGAATTACTCCTGAAACTTTGCCAGGATTCTTTCCAGGTTAGCCGGGAACTGCAGAATACTTATCAATTTCTTTGAACTCATCTACCTAGAGAGTGAGCAGAGTCGATTTAAGCCCGTTTTATACGATCAACTTTATGTCAATTATCTTTATTATTATTAATTATTAATTTTATAATCGTGAAATCGTGACATCTTAGAATTATTGTGATAGTTTTTCGCATTTGCTGCTTATAATTGGAAATTTGTATAAAATATTTCCAAAGAAGACTTAAAACTTCAGCGGCATTTATTGATATATCGGCAGCTTACGATATAGTATGAAGAGAGGGCCTTATATATAAAATTCTCCGTGCAATTCCCTGTAAACAAATAGCACGTTTAATAAATAGCATGCTCAACGACCGAATGTTTCAAGTTGTGATGGGCACAGATATCAGCCCACCAAAGAAACTTAAGAATGGCCTACCACAGGGGTCAGTGCTCTCTCCATTACTATTTAGCTTATATTTAGCAGATATGCCAGAAACACAATCAAGAAAGTTCCGATACGCCGATGACTGGGCCCTCACTACACGATGCAGAACACTAGAAACATCTGAAGAAGTTCTGACGGCAGACTTATATATATATTGAGCAAATATTTTCGCAAGTGGCGGCTTCAACCAAATGCATCCAAAACAGAAGTAAGTTGCTTTTACCTGAACAATAAACTTGCTGGAAAGGAACTCAACATACGGTTTGAAAATACCACACTTTCCCACAACAAAACACCGAAGTACCTGGGCGTAACACTAGACAGAACGCTATCATTTAAAGAGCATTTAACAAAAACTGCCCAAAAGTTGAGTACAAGAAATAACATTATACAGAAGCTCTGCGGTACCACCTGGGGAGCATCGGCTTCCACTCTCCGCTCTACTGCTTTAGCCCTTGTTTTCTCGACCGCTGAATATTGTGCCCCAGTTTGGCTACACAGTCCACACGTAAAAATGGTCGACACTCAGCTGCACATCACTATGAGGATGATAACTGGTACAATTAAATCAACTATCACCCAATGGCTTCCAGTATTAAGTCACATTCTACCTCCACATTTACGACGAGTTGACGTACTTACACGTGAATATAAAAAGATCATGAACAATATAAACCTGCCGATCCACCAAGATACCGAGGATCCACGAAATACCCGTCTACGTTCTAAAAAACCACCAATGAAAA